AGATCTGTAAATAAGACTCAGGATAACAAAAAGTATCTGATATTACTGATCCCTGTCTTCCTCCGTACCAATCCTATTCCATCTCACTACCCCAAGGCATGATCACTGAGCACAGAGGCATTTCCCATCCTGGTGTTCCAGCACAGGACTGTGGCTGTGCCCCATCGCTGGAGCTGCCTTGCACAGCTCGCTCATGGCTTCACCCCCCCAGTCTGATGGACAAAACTGACCCTCTGCACCGCACAGCCCGGAGCCACTCGCAGGGATGGACAGCTATTTTTATCTTCTAGCTACCATAAACGAATATTTCTCCAAGTTTGAAAGGGTGCACAATCCATGTCAGCATAGTTTCACATGTTTGCTCTTTTGGGCTAATAAAATCCCAGAGAAAACAAATTCTGATTTACCGTGTCTCCCCTCCCCTTCCCTTCCCGTGAGCCGCTGCCGCTGTCAGTCCTCGGGGGCACACACAGCAGGGTACCATGTCATGTCACACTAGGTGCTGGGATTCAACAAAGGCCAACATGTTGATATCTTTTTATTGTTCAGCAGCCTGGTTACTCCGTTTCCCCCCCTCTACAATTGGACACCTTTGATAATACGGGAAGTTCTGAAGCGGTAACATTTCTATTTTCAGTCAGGAAAGTATTTTTGTTTTTACAAAGCAATAGTCTCTGATCTTGCTTTTTAGGTTGCTAAGTACGACCCTTTATTTTACAGAAACTAATGATGGGACTTGGGAGGGGACATTTCTTTGCAAATAATGTAAATATTTACATTGCCAAATAACACTTTCTTAGGTAGCCTGAAGACTGTTCTAAATTCTTCCCTAATCAACAAAAATATCTAAGGTGTTACTACCCACAGAGGCAGAAGTTTCACTGATCTACAACTACAGCTACCACAGGCTGGTTTATTTTGTGTAGCAGTAAAAGGTAAATCCCATGGATGCGCTCCCTGCCCTGCGAGGGTGAGATGGCAGCGGCCCACGGGCAAGCTCTGGGTTATTCCATGTGCAGCGCTCGGGCCATGGAGGAATCTCTGGGAGTTAGTGAGGGCTGCGGCACGAAATAACGTGTTTTGTTGTAATTCCTAAACAGGGGGACATTTATCTGGGCCATTTATACAAGAGTTATAACCCTCACAATATTTATACTCAGCATGTCATGTTAGCATTTACTACCCGTTTCCATGGAGATGGATTTTCATGCTGTAGCTATGAAATGCACATTGTTGCCACTAAGCCACTTCAGGCCTTTCTGGAAGCCTGCTGAATGCCTGACAAAAGTTGATGCAAACCAATAGTTGTTGTTCTTTGTTTGTTGCCAGACTTCTAGCAGAGCCATATTATGTCCTAGTGATTGAAGTGCCCATGTTCGCCCCCCTCCCGGCACAAAAAGGATCCTCAATTTCGGTGACAAGCATGAAGTGGGCTTCTGCTGGGGAGGGCGGCCCGGCGCGGGGCCGGGCTCTGTCCCCGCGCGGGGCCGCGGCGCGGCGGGGGCCGCTCCCGACAGCGCCTGACATTTGGGGATAAAGCCGGAATAACAGAGAGAGCGGGCAGCGCCGGGGCCAGCGCCGAGCTCAGCTCCGGGCTCTTCCCGCTGCTGCTCCGGTCTCTCGGCCGGGCCCCGCCGCGCTCCCTCCGCGCCCGACGGCCGCTCCGCCGGGCCGGCCCGCGGCAGCGCACCGACGGCCCCGCCGAGCCCCCAGCCCCGCCGCCGGGCAGTGCCAGCGGGCGCTCCGCGGGCCGGGCGGTGCTGGGGCGGCGGCGGGACGGGGCTCGCCTCGGGCAGGAGGGATCCGCGGGGCGGCTCCGGGCGCGGCGCTGCCTGCGCAGCCCGGGCCGGGCCGCCCCACCGCCGTCCCCTCCGACGGCGCCGCAGGGTCCCAGACCGCGGCGGGCCCGGGGGCAGCGCCCTTCCCGGGTCGGACGCCGCGGCTTGGTGTCTCCGGTCCCGTCCGTGCCCGCCACGCCGCCTGCGCCGGGGTCCCCGCTCGCCGGAGCCGCCACCCCGCAGCCGTGGGCCCCGGCGCGGGGCTGCTCCGCTCCGCCGGGCTCGGCCCGATCGGGAACACGCTCGCAGCCCGCAGCGCACCCCGGGCCGGGCAGGGCTGCCCCGGCGGGACCCCCGTCACCCCCCGCGCCCTTACTGTTGGTAGTCCTGCTTGCAGTAGAGCTTGCGGTCCCGGAAGTAGCAGCTGGTGGTGAGCGCCTGCTGGCAAGCGGCGCACTGTAGGCACTCCTCGTGCCAGGAGGACTCGTTCACCCGCATCAGGAACCGGTCCGAGATGGGCCGCTGGCAGCCCTCGCAGACGGCCTGGTGCTGGCACTCCGACCCTGCAACGGCAGACGGCGGCGTCAGGCGCCGGCTCTGGCCCCGACACAGCCCGGCCCCGGTCCCCAGCCCCAGTCCCGGGCAGCCCAGCCCGCCCGGCCCAGCCGCGCGGCGAGACCGAGCTCGACGGCTGCCGCCGGCACCGCGTCCCGCACACGCGGCGAGACAGTCCCGCGCCCGGCGCCAGTCCGGGGCTGAGCGGCTACAGCCCGCATCAGCCCAGGCCCCTCGGACCGCAGCCCCGGGTACCGAGCGGAGCGCGGGGGCCGCTTTCGGCGTAGCCGAGAAGCGACCGGCAACTCACCCAGCAGCACTCCCAGCGTGGCCGGCCCCGAACGCAGGGGGTGGTCTTCCATTTTAATACCGTCCAGCATCTTGGCGCAGTCCGGCGGGCCCCGCGGGAAACACCTCTCCAAGGACTCGGGACCCGTCGCGATGTCCATGGGCGGCGGCGCGGCCCGGCGCTCTGGACGGCGGGGCGAGGCGCTGCCGGGCGGCGGGGCCGGCTCAGCCCCGCGTCGGGCCGGGCGCGGGGACACTCTGCGGCCGGGAGGAGGGAGTCGCTTTTATTTTTATCTGGGAGACATGAGGAGCGTTTCCTGCCCAGGCTTCCAGAGACGGGGGGCAGAGGCAGGAGCCGGCGCCGCCGCCCATGGGGCCGCCCCGCTACACGGGCGCGCACATGCCGCGCACACGGCGCCGGGCAGCCGCGGTGTCACCTGCTCGCCGGCAGCGCCGGACCCACGCCCTGCGCGGCGCGGAGGGCCCTCCCGGGGCGGGCCGGGCCGGGCGGAGCGCGGGCGCGGTGGGCCGGGCGGGGCGCGGGGCTCCCGGCGCTCCCAGCCCCTGAGCCGTGCGGCGGCCCGAGGAGCCGCGCCGTTTAGAGCAGGGGCCGCCGCGGAGGAACACACCCCCCGGCGCCTCACCCCTCCTCAAACTTGCTGACATTTGAACTCCATTGGTGCGCGCCGTATCGCTGCGCCGCGGTGATCCGTCTCCTCGACGTCAAATAGTGCCCTGGCCCCGCCGGGCCCCCGCGGCCCCCGACGCGCGGCGGCGCCCGGGGCGCGGGGCGGCCGAGAGACGCGGGCAGTGCGGGCCCGGGACGCGCCCCCGCGGGCCGGGGAGGGGGAGAACGATCTCGGCCGAGGGTGGCGGCGGAGCGGGGCCACGGCTGCTCCGCTCCCCCGTCCGCGCCCCGCGCCGCTCCCGACCCGACGGCTGCTCTTGGCTCCTGCCCTGTCCGGGGTAGGTAGCAGCGCGCGTCCAGCGCCGGGCCACGGGCAGGTGGCGGCGGGACCCTCCCTCGGGGCGCCCGGCCCCGGCGGGGACGCGGGTCTGTCCCGCGGACGGCGGCGGCGCGACCGGCCCCGGCGGGGACGCGGAGCGGGGCGCGGGGGGTTGCACCTCTGAAAGGCGGCTCCGAACCGTCGCGGTGGGGCTGCGGGCGGGAGAGCTCGAGCAGAGCAGCGGCCTGAGGGATGCGGATGCTCCCTCGGCCGCGACCCCGCGCCCGCTCCTGCGGCAGCGCTGCCCGCTCGGGTTGGCCGCTAACGCCTTTGAACGCGCAGGGACTCGGTGCGGAGCGCAGCGCGAGTGTTCACACACCCCGTGTGTGTGCGGGACAGCCCTGTCCGAACTCACCGTGCCGGGATTCCCTCTGAGGAAACAAAACCGACGGGAAAAGCGATCCCCACCAGCCTGCCCGTGCGCACGGAGCACCGGACCCCGCGCCACCGCCTCCCTTTCGATTTTGGTTTTTTTTTGAGGGAGTTGTGTTTTGGATTTTTGTTTGGTTTTTTTTCTGTTTGTTTGGTTTGGTTTTTTTTTCTATCCGATACCGTTAAAAATCTAAATCTGAAGAAATTAAAATCCAGAAAGGATTCTGTGAGGAGATTCGTAATGTGACCCGTGATATGCCATGACCTTGCCAAAGGAAGGAGTTTATTTTGTAATGCTCCCAAAATATTGATACTTAATAAGCAGGGCAAGTGTTAACTTGAATTACTTAATGCTTCTCTTTTTTGGGTCTTAAGATAAAGCCTCTTTTTATGCCGTTTTCGTGCGCAAAAATCTCAGAAAGAAATTCGTGACTACGTTTAAGTTAAATATTTTGGAAAGGGTTTTCAGTAATAGGGCTTATTTGGTTTTTGTTCTGGAGAGTACAAATCTGAAAATCTTTGTCGCTAATGCTGAAAAAATAATATATGATTATTTAATTCTGAGATCAAGATAAAGGCTGCTAAAATTTCAAAGTTCAATCAGCGGCGAAAAAGCTGCTCGTTCACATTAATATTTTATGTTCCCTTCCTATTTTCTCTTAAGGATTCAAAGTTCTCCATCACAGAGGGCTTCCGTCAAATTATCTTCCACAGTTGCGAGGAAAATTAGAGCCCCCGTTTCCGCAGGAGTTTTCGTAAATTCTCGTTATAAAAAGAAGAACGAAAAGAAGAAAACCCTAAACCCAGTCAAAAGGCAGCTCTAAGTGGCGGGACTTGGAAGCGGAGCGGGAGTCCCTCGCCCCGCAGCCGCAGCAGTAATTCCGGCTTTGTTCCTGGGTTTTTACTCGCAAATATCACACCAAATTGCTTCTTGCTGTGTGTATGTACGAACACTGTGCCGAGTAAATGTTATCCCCGCTCCTGCCCTGAGAACAATTCGATGAGGTGTTATATCAGTTTATATGATGCTTTTAAAGAAAAACAAAATGCAATTAAAACACCCACGCGCAAAACCATCACAGAAATAAACCCAAACCAGACTAACGCAGCCCCACCTCCCCGCGGCTTCCTTCGAATTCTCCGTTTATTTGCAAGGCACATCTCCTTGTTTTGGGTTAATTTTGAGAGTCGAACAAGGAACGCAGCCGGTCTCAATCCTGCCCTTCCCAGACGAGGCAGGAGGAAGAAGCACCGGTTTAACGAACAGTGGCCGAACCCGCGGAGGAGCCGCCGCGCCGAACGCGCTGCAACAAATCTCCGCCGGCCTCCGGGACGAGCCTCCCGGTCCCCGCTCCTCGCCCGTCGGTCCCGCCCCGGTGCACACGCACGCGGGTAGCCGGCGCTGCGGGGAGCGCAGCGGGACCCCGGCGGTGTGCGGGACAGAACGGAGCGTGACCCGGGGGGGCCGCGGGCGTCTTGGCACGAGGGCAGGGTGGCGCCGGGCGTTTTCCGCGTAAGCGTGCGGGCCCGGCGGGTACGTGTCTGTGCACTCTGGTTGCCCCACGCCCCGTTTCTGCCCGAGCGCATTCTCGGATGCCTGCACGCGGATTTTTCCCGGTACCAACGCGCGCCGCCCGCTCCCGCGGTCCGGTGCGCGCCCCGCGGTCCGGCCGTGCGGCGGGGCTGCCCCGCGAGGTGCGCGGCCGGACCCGCGCGTGCGGGGGTGCCCCCGGCGGGGCGGTGACGGCGCTGCCCGGCCCGGCCCGGCCCGGCCCGGCTGATCCCGCTCGGCGGGGCCGGTGCGCGGGGCTCGGGCGCAGCCTGCCCCCTGCCGGCGCGCGGCGGCACGGCCGGGGCTCGGCGGGCGCGGGGTCAGCCGGGGCGAGCGGCGGGGCCGGTGGGGAGCCGGGCAAGGGGGAGAGGGGCCGACCGGCCCGGGTGCTGCCCAGCGCGGAGACGGCGGCGCTTCCCGACCCTGGGCGGGGCGGACCGGCCCCAACTCTGCAGCACCTCGGCGGCGGGGCGAGGGGGGAGCCCCGGGGCAGCCGGAGACCACCGGCTCACTTTGTCCTGTTTTTCTCCACCCACAGCTGGACTCTGCACCTCGCTGCCCTGCGGAGCCCCGACTTTCCCCGCTCGCCAGCCGAACGCCGAAGCATCGGTGCACGGAAAAACGCTCACGGCAGGAGCACTGAGGGAGCGCCGGGGCACGGGGCCGCTGGCACGGCAGACAGCTGCCGAGGTTCGGCACCGCCACAGAGGCCGGCGGGCGCCCCTCTGGCGGACTCGCTGCCGGTTGCCCGCGGAGCTCCCCATACTCCCCAGAACCGGGCGCTCCCCAGACCGGCTCTGCAGCCCGCAGCTCCGACGGAGCCTCCGGCGGCGGCACCCACCGCCCGGTGCCTCCCTGTCGCCAGGCCCCTGCCCCTGGCCGCCGTCGTGCGGGGCAGTCCCACTACCTGGCCCCGCTCGCTCGCTAGCCCCGGCGGAGCGGTTCCGGCCCAGGAGGAGCTGCCGCCGGCCACGCATGGAGGCAACTGATCCAACCGACTCTCCCCGCCTCGGAAGGATGGATGTGAACGAGCTGCGAAGTGTAGTTACCAATAACAATAACAATAAATTATCGGGCTGTTGCTCAGTAGCGCAAACAAATGCTTCGTGAACCACGCGGAGCCTCCCCGTGCACCGCAGCCGCCCTACTGGGACCGGCCCGTCCACCGACCGGCTGAGCCCTAGCCTCGGGAAGGGACCCTGCTCGTCCGGCGGCCTCACGGAGCAGGTCACCGGGGCCGGCCAGAGCGGCTGATGGGGGAGGTGGAGCCGGCGGTATCCGGCAGAACGCGGTCGGAGGCCACGCCGCGTGAAAAGCGGCGAGCACCGAGCCGGTATTTTAATTAAGCAGGATCTCTTTGATACAGGCCGCCCGATGCTATCTCTGCGCTCTGTTCCCGTCACGGCAGCATTTGGGTAGGAAAATTGCTGAGAGAGGCGGATCAGGCAGAGCGCCGGGGCCGCGCCGAGAAGCCGGAAAGCCCCGGGGAGCAGCGGGTGCCGCGCGGCGCTGGGAGTCCCAGCCCCGCCACGATGCGGTGCCGCCGTGCGCCTTTTCGGGGGGCCTGGAGGAACGGGAGCCAATTTACTATGATTAAAGGCACAGGCGAGGAGGCGCCACGCATTTGCATGCGCCTTCATCTTCCCTAAATAGAGTTTTGAGGGCAGCGCGGCAGACAGGCTCGGGCTTCGCTTACCCTCCGCCGGCGGAGAGCCCGGCCGGGCGGCTTCAGGGCATGGAGATCTCGAGCTCCCCGCCCGCCCGAGGGAGCCGCAGAACCTGCGCCGGCACCAGGGCCCTGCGGGGTCGCGCTGCTCCGGCGCGGAGCCGTTCTGCCGCCCGGCCCCTGCTGCGGCTCCGCACTGTCCCCGCGGCTCCCAGGGACCCGCGCACGACGCGCAGTGCCTGCGCCTGTGATGGAGGCTGCGCCTCGGCCTCACCAGGACCCCGGCTCTCGCTGCCCGCTCGCCCGGCTCTAGCAGGGCCCGTGTTACCGGCGCAGCCCTGTCCCTCACCCGCCTTGACCCGCACGGTCCAGCGGTCCGGGCAGGCGGCAGAGGCCCCGTGACAGCAGTGGCGGACACCTGGCTCAGGCCCGGCTCGGTCCGAACAGAAGTGCTCTCACTCCGGTCGCTCACCGTCCCGGGGCTCCCAGGGACAGGGACACGACGGGGCGAGCGGGCCGAGCCCTGTCTGGCAGCAGCGTGTCGCGCACATGTGCCCCCGCGGCGACCGATGCCAGGTGCGAGGCTGGGGGCAGAGTTTACCGCCAGCCTCTGACGGCTCCGCGGGTTTCCCAGCATGGGTGCTGGGGGGGGGTGGGAGGTGGTGTCTTTTCCCAGTTCAGGGCAAATACCTTCGTTTCACTGGGAAATTTAACCTCTCCTTGGAGCTGGATCCATTATACGGGTTTAATATCCGCTCTTTTACAGCTCAGTGTTGTAAAAGGCAGCAGCCAGGTCTGTGAACTCTGACATGTGCACCAGCGGGGGGGTGCGGGGGGGACAGGACCTGCCGGCGCGGGGCACGCCTGCGAGCGCAGCCTTTCATCTGCGGTGCCTCTGCACCAGCCCCGCCGGCCGGAGCGGGACGGGGGCGCCTGCGGCCCCCAGCCGTGAGGCCCGCAAGAGCCCTAGGGGCCCCCGCCGAGGTCGCGGGGTTCGGCAGCTCCCGAGGCGCCCCCGGGGGTCTGGCAGGGCCCCACCGCTCCCGGGGAGCGGACTGGGCCGGCGCGGCAGAGGCCGTGCCCGCATCGGTGGCCTCCCCCGCGCCACCACACGGCAGGTGCCCAAGCAGCGCGGGCAGAGGCCGGGAGCCCGAGTGAGCGGGTCCGGGCGCTGCTTGTCCCGGGGCTGTCGCTGCCGGCGGGACGCGCTCCCGCAGAGACCAGCTCGGCAGAGCCGCGATGCCCGCGCTGGTGTGAGCGGTGCGGTGCGACGGAGGGACGGGAAAGGACGCGGCCACCCCGACTTTCCGCTTTTTCTCTCGAGAACTGTCAGGTGCGTGGAGCAACCCGGAAGGGGGTACTGGGCCAGGGCTGTCCGCGGGAAACGGCGAGCGCACAGCGCCGGGCGGGCGGCGCCGCGAAACGGGCGGGAACCAGCTCCGCCGGTGCGGCGGCCGCGCCATCCCGGCACCCGCGGGACCCGCCGCTCCCCGAGCAGCATCTCCTGCTCCCGGGGCGGGCGGGCTGCCCGTGCCAAGTTGCACTGGAGGCCGTCGGGCCGGGGCGGCGGCAGGAGCGCCCGGCTGGCGGGGGCGGCGGGTCCTCTAGCCGGGTGGAAGCGGGTTCCCGTCAGAGGGGCCAGCTCCTCGGAGGCGGAGGGAGCTGGCCGCTCCTCTGCTTTTCCGAGGCGCTGCGGAACCATTTTCTTAGGTTTAATCGAGGTACTTAAATACAACTCGATTTTGCGGGGGAAAAAAATTAAAACAACGAGAAATCGTTTCCTCCTGGTGCTCGGAGGCCTCTCCGTTATGACTAACGTGCCGAGAGGACCGCGGGCCGCGGCCGCCCTGACCCCTCTCTCCACCCCACCGGGGCCTCCCAGAGCCCCGCGTGGGTCCGGTGTGGCGCGTGGGCCAGGCAAGACCCTGCAGACACCGCTTCGCCGTCGCGCCCTCCGCTCGCCCACGCAGGGCCGACTTCTTGAAGAGAGACATGAAAAACAACGTGTTTGGGAGGAAGAAAAGAGAGGAGAGGGCTCTGCCTGCAGACGGCGTCGCTCTTACGTAAAGATACGAACAGCAGGAGCTGCAGTCGGGGGTGACGGCGTTGCAGTGGCTGCTGGGGCTCTCCGAAGCTGCCTTTGTCAGCACAGAACGATCACGTAAAATGGGAAATATCGGAAGCCGCGCGAATATGCAGCACTGCCCTGAGCGGAGCGCTCCGCTCTGGTTTGTATTAGCGATTATTGCGCTGTCATTGAGGAATGCAGGGTTGGAAGGATTTGCTTTGGAACTCCAAGTACACGCGGTACAAGAGAGAAGCGAAACGCTGCAGCTTGCGTGCCGCACGAAAAGCAGGATAACGCTGAACAACCCCCAAGAAAGGCTGAGGGGGAGCCGGGGGAGGCCGCCCCACTTCTCCCACCCCACTCTACCAGTCGACTCGTCCCGAGGGCTGCTCCTGCCTCGTTCCCTCAGACCCTCCTGCTCCCCAGTACCACGCGCCTGGTAGCTTGTCATGCCGAGCGGTGTGTGATGCAATTCCCAACATGGGATTCCTCACCTGCTGCCAGCTGATCGCTCGAGAGAGGCACGCTAGGCTGCAGGCTCTCCTGGCAGCGTTTCCTTGTCCTCTCGCCTTTTCTTGCATGTCTGCCTTATCTGACATGTTGGGTGCTGGCAAGGCGAAACCTGAAGCAGCCCTTGGAAGGGTCCGGGAAGGGAGGGCTCCCATCGCCCCGCACCCGCTGCCCCCGCTGCTGCCTGCAGTCCTGCCCCGTTCCGGGACACCGGCGGGCCTGGAGAAACATGGTTATTTTTTCTCTCCCATTATCAATAAGCCCAAATTATTGCTTACTATTTCTATTTATCTCGAAACGTAAATTTCAGCTGTGGCATTGGATTGACGAGGAATCCCTTCCCAAGGTGTTTTCCTAAAATAACCCCTCCGATTCCGCAGATCAGAGGTTATCACGGACAATAAACACTTTCACCCTCAGCCTCAGATAGTCAAGGACAGATGAGCGCATCTTACCCCCCTCCCCGCACCGCAGACTCGATCCTCTCAAAGCGAGGAACCTGCATGGTTTTCGCTGGAGTCGCGGTGCTCGATTCTGCCTCAGCTGAGGGGTTTTGGTGTCTCGTAGTTCCGCGTGTGAAAAACGGGGGGAAAGAGTCAGAGGGCGACAGAGCTGGGTCCCCCATCCCCTGCCCCCCAGCCTCGCCTTTGCTCTTCCCGTAGAGATTCCCTGGGTATTTCTGAAGTTCAGTATTTGCATAACACACAGGGAAAGGTGTTCCCCAGGAACAGCCAGGTTACCCGACACACGCGTACCGAAACGGTCACATCTACCACTGATTGGAGCACCACTCCGACCTGGGCGAAAAGGGACTATAAAGAGAGAAAAACAGTGGATGGAGAACTTCAAAGTGTGGATTCCTATGTGACCCCTGCAGATGTGAACGCATTCGTTTGCAGTCTCGGTCAACTGCAAGCTCGGGGTTAACATACCAAACCCCCCCGGCCCCGGTGATGATCTTATGCTTTAGAAGCAGCGAGTTCCACAGCACAAACTCCGATTTGTTCAGTCGCTTGCCCACGTACAACGAGTTCCGCGTGTGCACAACCCTCACCGTTGCTTAAACCCGCTTTAGAAAACAAAACAAAATCAACTCCCAGCCCGAAATAGCCCGTCATATAAACTGATCGATAAATGCATTTACACGCCTGATTCTGGCTGCAGCAGTGCGATTGAGGCAGCGGGGCACCACAGCAGAGCAGACTCTCTGCTCCACGGCCGTGGGCGAGCCCCTCACCGCACCTCTGCACCGCTCCGCCCGGCTCGGAAAGGGAATTAACAGAAGGAAAGGCAGGAGAGAGCCGGCCTGCCCCGCTCCCGGTGCGGGCTCCATGCCTTCCCCCAGCGGAGGCTCCCGCCCCGCGGAGCCCCGGCCGGCGGTGCGGAACCCCGGGGCAGCACCGGTCTCTCCCCGGCGACGGAGCCACGATTTGCTGAGACAGACACTGAGCTCAGATTCTTAAATATCAACAGCACACGAGCGCCTGGGTCTTAATTTTTACTAGTGTCAAGGAATAACCCATTGCTCATAAACGTAGGGGAAGACCGAGATGTTTTTTTATATGACAGGTTATAAGATTACTCTGGAGGCCAATGCAGCCTGTAAAAGGGGCTCCCACGTCATGTTTTCCTTAGCTGTGAAAGCTGGTGAAGGATGAGGGGTCACACACTCAGGTTCCCTCTCTCGCACGGAGGAATCTCCTCGCAGAGCACACTGAGGGCAGGGTTCCTCCCTGAGCTGCTTCCCAGCCATCAGCACACACCGACAGCCCGCAGTGCCTTCAGAATTTCGTTTCTGACACTTTTTATGTTAGAGAATATTTTCCCTGCCTTTGTGAAGTC